CACACACACACACACACACACACACACACATACATAGCCGCTCACAGCTGTTGCCACACGATTGCAGGAGGGAAAAGTCACCAAAACTGAAACCTACTACTGTTGTTACGACCTATGATGGAAAGAGAAGGAATGAATGACTGTCACAGGAAATTCACAGGCAAGTGACCACTTCAATGTGTGTGGCCTTGCATCGGTTGGCTTTTATGAACGGAATATGATGAAATTTAAATAGGTTGATTAGGGTAAGAGGCCTAATAAGTTACAAGCCAGGGAGATAAAGGGAAATCCTCTGCACAGGCTACCGGTAGGTCAACAACCCTAGGCAGTGTCATGTTACCTTGGTCTGGACTCTGGTGGAGGTAATCTGGTTCCTGACGTGTGTTATCACTCTGGAAAATCACTGCGCTTCTTGACTCTCCTCCAGCGATGGAGGAGAAATGACCGTGTGCCCATGTCCTCCGAAAGCAGCACGCAATCCATGAGGAGGGGATGACAGCAATGGGACCAATAAAGACGATCCCGACGACGCAACACTCTTCTCTTCTGAAAAATCAGCACCTGTAATGTAGCGGCCTGTCTGTGCAGTCCGCGGCTTCATCCTTAATATCCTCATCGTCATCCTCTTCCTTATTCTCATCCTCATCAATCTGCTCATCTGCATCCTCATACTCATCAGGTGGATGAAGAGCATACAGCCACCAACAGTGGAATACCTCCTCTTCATCGCACTGGTGGTAATGGATTGCAGAGGCAGGCGCACGAGGTGCTTGCTTGCTGGATCCTCACACTGGCGGGAAACGTTGGTGTGTGGAAACGAGTGCACCCCAACAACATGTCACAAGGCCAATTATTCACAGCAGCAGCTCCCCACATGACCCCTCTATACGTTTTCCTATTCTTCTTCTCCTTCTTGTTCACGGCCGCCAGGGATCTGTCAGGAGTGCGCAGAAAACCAGGCAGAACATCCCGCTCTTTCTAAAGAAGCGGCCACGAGCATGGTGGACCAGGTGTGCCGGAGTGGGTGGATCGATCAGTATTTTGAGACATATGGAGGAGGAGGAGGAGGAGGAGGAGGAGGAGGACAAGAGTGTGTGATTAGAATCGCGGCGAGAGAACATGGACCCAAAGCAGCGACAAAACAATGGCCAACAAGATAGACCAGACGATGACGATCGTCGGTGTCTTGTTGGTCTTTCCCATCAAACCCTTTGCGAAGGGGTAAAGATGGGAGAGCACCCAGAAGGAGAAGAAGACCATTCCCATGAGCCGACCCCAGTTCTGCTCGACTCGGTCCTTGTACATTTCGCGAGACACTCCGGCGAAGCACGAAATGATGTTGACCATTATAATTGTGGTCGGAGGAACCATCAACCATGTCCAGCGGAAGGCGTAGAGCTCTGCATAAGGGTCGTCGTCGTTGTCGTTCCCTTTCTGTGTCAGGGTGAAGGAGATATCCACTCTGAAGATGACCTTAAGCAAACCCTGTGTGACAGCTGCCAGATGGGCACTAGTTCCTCCAATGACCCAGAACTGCTCGTTTCTCCACCATTCTTCCAGTGTCACTCCGCTCCACCGAATTTCGAGAATGGAAGTCAGGAAAATGGAGATGAACAGCAATAAGAAGTACAGAACCGCTATCTCGGTGATTTCGTTGATGATGAACTGGTTGGTGAAGAGGCAGAACGCCGGCAAGAAGCAATAAAGAAGCAACGCAAGGGACGTGAACGGGTACACGACGGTGTTGATGTAGGCCAGTCTTTGCATAACCTTGAGGCTTTTGAAGTAGTTGTGGAAGAGCGGGTTGTGCTTCGAGAAGAAGATTTCTACCGAACCCGTGGCCCACCGAAGCACCTGTCCCAGCCTATCCGTCAGATTGATTGGCGCAGATCCCTTGAATGCAGACCTCTTTGGCATGCAGTAGACAGAATGCCAGCCGTTCACATGCATGATCAATCCAGTGACGATGTCTTCTGTAACCGATCCATACATCCAGCCGACCGTTTTTCCCCACTCTGTGTTCTCCTCGTAGCCACAGGAAATGACGAGGATCACATCGCTCAGAACCTGATAAGCTCCAACGTCAGGAACGCTACCCTCTGCATCGCCAACGGTGGCAACGAAGTTCCGGCACATTCCAAAGCGCTTTGTGTGCCATTGTGTCGGCACCAGATGATTACCCTCCTCCTCCTGCTGACCGGCAATAACAGCAGTGACGAGGCGTTTGTGCTCCAGTGCAGCCTTGCGACTGCGCGGGCCACAGCAGAAGCAGCAGCAGCAGAGGGAGGCACAACATCCTCGGGACACGGCATCCTCTTCGTCGTCCAGTGTGTTGCCTCTCAGCGGAGGGCAGAATCCATACAGCGCTTGCCTCCGAAACACACAACCTGTGCCGACGTACATAGGACCCTGCACCCCATCCAACCCTTTCATGTTCACATCGAAAAAGATAGTGTTGTGGTTCGCATAGCGATCGTTCTTGTCGACACCATCGAACCGCTGAGGGAACTGGACATAGCACACCTGACTTCCCTTCTTCGGATCCATCAGGAAACACATAGCCTCGCGAATGGCTTTGGCGTTGTTGATGTAATGATCGCAATCAAGATTGAGGATGAAAGGCCCGTTCGTGATCAGAGCACTCGTCCGAATGAGAGCATTCATAGCACCTGCCTTTTTGTTATGGTTAACCCCTGGTCGTTTCTCTCGAGAAACGTACACGAGCCGAGGCAGAGGGTCCCCGTTGATATCCTGAGGCAGTAGCGAGCGTCACCACCATGAACAGCCAAAGAACATGACAAACACATAGTAAGCACATACACACATCTTTTTTTTTTTGTTCTTTTTTTTTTTGTTTTCCACATACACATATCTTGCAGTTGTGTGAGTAAACAGTAATAGCAGTCGTGACTGTGGCTGCAGCAGTTCAGTAAAGCGTGGCAACGGCAGCACCAGTCATAGCACGGCAGCAATGGCAGCAGCAGCACCTGTGGCAATGACAGCAGCAGCAGTGCCACTGCAGTAATGACCACAGGAGCGATTGCAGCAGCAGCAACGATAACAGCATTGACAACAACAGACACAACAACAGCAGTGGAGAGAAGGTTAACGGAGACCCTAATTTTCAGACCACTTGCCATGCCATTTATAAGAAAACCAAAGGGTCATTTTAATCAAACTTGCCACCAATTCGTAGAGTGTAGACATACTAACTAACTGCAAAAGCGGCAGTGGCAGTCTTAGGAGCGGCAGCAGCAGCAGCAGCAGCAGCGGCGATGAACACGGCAGCACAATCAGTGGCAGCAACAGTAATAGCAGTCGTGACTGTGGCTGCAGCAGTTCACTACAGCGTGGCAACGGCAGCACCAGTCAAAGCATGGCAGCAATGGCAGCAGCACCACCACTGTGGCAATGACAGCAGCAGCAAAGCCACTGCAGTAATGACCACAGTAGCGACTGCAGCAACGGCAGCGGCAGTAGCAGCAGCAGTGGCAGCAGCACAAGCGGCAGTGGAAGTAGCTGCAGCAGAACCAGGGAAGGTAACACAAGGAGTGGGAGGGGTCTAATTAGGGGTGAAGGACGCAGCAGCAGTAGCAGTTATCATCATCAGCAGCGTCCCGTTTGGTAGATTGAGAGGCTTGCCGCCGAGTGCAAGAATGTTTGACGAAAGGGAAAAGAAAAGAAAAGAAAACAGTAGCAGCAGCATAAAAAATGGTAGCGCTATCGGTAGTGCTTATAGCACTAGAAGCAGCAGTAGCAGGAGTCGAAGTACTCACAGCTGCAGCAGCAGAGTAGGAGGAACACACTACCAGTAGTGGGAGTAGTTGGTAGTAGCAGCTGCAGATTAGTAGCAATCACTGTAGCAGCATTTGTGGAAGTTGTAATAGCAATAGCAGCAGTAGCAGCGGTGGTTCTAGGAGTTGCTGCCCATCTTCCCCTGACCCTGAGTATAACGCATATGCGTTGTAACTTGTACTAAACGAATACAACGCCTAGGTTGCTGTCTATTCTAATACAGCACATGTGCGTTCTATTCAAACATCCCTTCAATTGGAATACACCACACGTGTTCTATTCAAATCGCAGATTTTTTTGGAAACTTTTTTTTTTTTTTTGGAAAACTCGAATACAACGCGTGTGTTATGTTTGGGGAAGACGGACACTGATTGTAGTAGCAGCATTGGTAATAAAGCCACTGGCAACGACATAAATAGCAGCAGCAGTTTGACACCATCACTGACGATTACGAGGCCATCGAAGCCTGTCAGCCGGCAGCAGGGGAACAATAGGTTCTGACTCCTGAGCTCAGCCTGAGGCCAAAAGGAGTGCAGGGCCTGGGCTGGTACGGGGCCCTGTCTGGGGCCGGGTGGAGCTGCTTGAGACCCACTGATGAGTAGAGCAAGGCCGAAATCGGTAGACTCTGCAAGGCAGTGCCTAGTGGGTGAACATGAGACTGGCTGAAGTATTCAAAGAAGGCTGGGGCAAGTCGAAATCGCCTTTGTTGGAGGGAGTGATGGCCAGCGGGGCATTTCAAGCTCGCTGTGAGCTCCGCCAGCGGAAGGAGTGGTGTTAGTCGTCCAGATTCTGAGCCAGGCTGCAGCAGCTGGGTTTTGGGAGAAGCTTAGGGCAGGATGAGCCGTGTAGCTGGGCCGTGAGAGAAAGATATCGTGAGGCAGCTTGAGTGACCCAGCTGAACTGTGCTAGTTAGGGAGGATCAGCATCCAGCATCCGATGAGAGGAAGCCATGGCTGAGTAAGAAAACCGGCACCATAGCCAGGTTGAGCACTGAGGAAGAAGACCGGAACCGTATCCAGGTTGGGCGCTGAGGAAATAAGAGGAGGTGGCACTAGAATGGGAGATCCTTGGGGAAGAGGAAGCCCGTGGAGAAGTGAAGAGTCACAAGGTACTTAGTACCTGGTGGTTGGTGAAGAACGGTTCCCCCTCTGGCATGCCGCTTGGCATGCAACCCTGTGGCATGCCACTCGATCCTGTGCAGAGACCAGGGTAGAGTAGATCATCATAAAGTAGGTGGTCACTTGGGCCCATGGAGAGACTGGCGAGGGCAGATATCTTCCGCTGCTGCTGCTGCCTCTGTTGTTGTTGTTGTTGTTGTTGTTGTTGTTGTTGTTGTTGTTGTTGTTGTTGGTGGTGGTGGTGGTGGTGGTGGTAGTGTTGTTGTTGTTGTTGTTGTTGTTGTTGTTGTTGTTGTTGTTGTTGTTGTTGTTGTTGTTGCTGCTGCTGCTGCTGCTGTTGCTGTTGTTGTTGTTGTTGTTGTTGTTGGAGCGTGAAGAGGGCTATCTTCATCAAGGGACTTCAACAGTGTGTCTAGCTTGTTCTTTAGTGATCATTGCTTTGTCAATTCTTCTAGTCGCCTTGCTGCTGTGTGCATGTTGTGTGGGGGGGGGGAGAGAGAGAGAGAGAGAGAGAGAGAGAGAGAGAGAGAGAGAGAGAGAGAGAGAGAGAGAGAGAGAGAGAGAGAGAGAGAGCGAGAGAGAGTTGCCGGGCCGGGCATGTTTGTGTGTGTGAGTTTCTGCAAAGCGGGTTCCCTGCACGATTCACACAGGTAGTAGCAAATCATTGCTGGGGCTGGAGAAACACACTGTCAGGAGATTCTGTTTGTTGCTTTTCTCTTTTTTGTTAAGAGTATTTACTTTTCGAATTTGAATTTGGACCATTTCTCTCTCTGTGCTTGTCATGGTTGTGCAAGGGCCACACTGATCTTCTTTGTATCGCTCCAGTTTCATTTTTTTATATCGATGTCCCAAAGGACCCAACAAAGGAGATGGGTCGCTCCATTTTCAATTTTTGATCGATGTCCCAAAGGACCGAACAAAGGAGATGGATGGATGTATGGATATTACATGGAGCTCGGTGGATGCTGCTGCCGAAAAAAAATCAACTGCATGCCACTGGGCAGATCGCCTATCCTTAACCCACCAGTACTTGGCCCAGACATTGGCCGCAGGCACTTCACGTTAACGCGCCACAATTTCTGGGCCTCAGCCTCCGGATCAAAATGGCTTGCGGCGCCAGCCGAAAGGAGTCTGTGCCGGTTCCATTTTTTTTGGTGCGCAGGGCGGTCCCATCCCAAGGTCAGAGAAAAGTGCCTCGGGGCCAAGTCCCACTTACGCTGATTCTTTTCCATTTCTGGCCGTTGATCTTCGTAATCAACGGTCAGAAGTTGACATTTCGGGTACCGAGTGGGACTTGGCCCGCGGAAGTCTGAAGTACCGGTGGTCTAAAAAGGGGGTAACACTGGTCCAGGAGGGTTAAGCCACCAGTACTTGGTCAAGCTACAGGCCGCGGAAAAAAAAAGAAAAAAAAGAGTAGAAAGTACTAGAAACATTTCTAGTCGGATGAATTTGGGCGCTCCCCTGTAGTGGTCCGTACGTTTCCTAAAATTGTGGCTTGTATACGGGCATGACTTCAGGAAGTACTGGTGGTTTAAACCACCAGTACTTGGCCCATACACGGTTGCGGGCCGTTGTCGGACCATTGCCGTCGTCATTAACGGCCCGCAACTTCCGGGCTTCGGGGTACCAGACCTCAATGGCTGGAAGCGCCAGCCAAAACAAAGTCGAAACGGCGCCGTGGCGGTTCGGTAAAACTTGGCGCGCAGGGGGTGGGCCAGCTCGGCATCAATAGCTGGGCCAAGTACTGGTGGTTTAAGTGCTGCCATCGAAGGGCCAAGATGCTTCTGTGAAAGACTGCATGACATTGCTTTTTTTTTTTTTTTTTTTTTTTTTTTTTTTTTTTTTTGAAAGAAACTGCCCGGACCGGGTCTAGGGGTGCTGATATGAGCAGACACCACTAGAGCAGCTGGGGAGGCTCCATCTATTGGTGGGGAGCAGCACCTGCTGGAAATCGGGTCCAGCGTCCCTGTGAATTATGATGCAACCAAAGAATGTAACCATGTAAAGTTAGTGCACATAAGGGGACTGGGCACAGAGGCAGCCCAGCCATCTGATCTTACGAGTTATCTATTATACTGTTTGTTGCTGTTGTTTGGAGTAACTATCAGTGTGTATGTGTAGTCCTGTGAAAGTACAGTGCGAAAAAGAAATGTGACCATCAGATGGTATTGTACATAAGGGGGCCGGACACTGAGGCAGCCCAGTGTTCTGTTGTCTCTGGTTTATCGATTATACTGTTGTTGCTGTGGCTTTGACTGACGATCTTTACCTAAGTGAGTGTGTGTTTATTGCGTTATGTAATTGTGCGTTGTCTAACAAAACCCATGGGCTCTATTGGTCGTCTTTAGCCAAACTTCCTATGGTGAGTGATGATGTAGACATGCATTGCTACAGGTGAACTAAGCTGTCCTGCCATTACAAGATGTGGTGACTTATTTGAAAACCTCATAAAGCACAGTGGTCGTCCTAGCATGACGTCCTATGGTAAGTGATGGTACAGATATGCCTTGTAACAGCTGGGACGGACCGATATGCTGATGTGCTTGTTATGATGACAGCAAACTACCTGGTCCATCTGTTGCAACAGGTAAACTAATCTGACATGCTATTATAAGATGTAGTGACTTATTTGACAAAAAAAAACCCTTAAAGCATAGTAGTCGTCCTAGCATGGTACAGATGTACATCGTAACAGCCGGGATGGTCCGCTATGCTGCTGTTATGATGACAGCTAACAACCGGGTCCATCTGTGAAATGTGGACGGCGGACTGGGAGGAGGCTTAGCATCCAATTGAGTAGCTTCTTGTGGTTTCCGGAACGTTTGTCCAATATCTGCC